CCAAAAAGTCCTCTGTGTGTGTCCCACTTCCGGCCAAGGACTTCTTTTCGGAAAGGCTGGGAAGTGTGGACACAAGGCACAGACAGGAGGGTGGATTGGTTAGACTCATCGTGTTTGTATCTTATAGATAAGATATGAAAACATATTTACATGGAGCAAGGAAGAGGTGTCAGAGTAGACAGCTCAAACTGAGGGGAGGCTCGGCCCGGAGCCGGCTCCCAGCGCCGCTGCCATGGCCGCGATGGGGCGGCCCTGTGAGGCCGGAGGGAGGGCCCAGGCCCCGCGCTGTGGTGCCGGCGGCGGCTGGAGGAGGCGCAGCCCGGTGTGGCGGGAGGTGCCGGGCAGAGGCCTGCGAGCAGGGGGTCGGCTGTGGGCTCTGGGCCAGCGGCTGGGCCTGGAGCATCTCTCTGCCGGGGAAAGGCTGAGGGACCTGGGGCTGTTCAGCTGGAGAAGAGCTGGATCCCATCAGAGGGGATCCCATCGATATTTGTCAATAGCTAAAGGGCGGGGGGCAAGAGGATGGGGCCAGACTCTCTGTGGTGGTGCCTGGTGATGGGAGAAGGGACACAAACTGCCAACACGGGAAATTCCATCTCAACGTGAGGAGAAACATCTTTCGCGGGGGGCAAGAGGATGGGGCCAGACTCTCTGTGGTGGTGCCTGGTGATGGGAGAAGGGACACAAACTGCCAACACGGGAAATTCCATCTCAACGTGAGGAGAAACATCTTTCTTCTGAGGGTGGCAGAGCACTGGAACAGGTTGCCCAAAGAAGGTGCAGAGTCTCCTTGTCTGGAGATCTTCCAAACCCACCTGGACATGTTCCTGGCCAACCTGCCCTGGGGGATGCTGCTGGGACAGGACTGGGTGGTCCATGAGGGTCCCTTCCAACCCCTGCCAGTCTGTCATTCTGTCACCACCTTGCCCCAAGGCCACTTTCCAGCTCCCCCCGGGGCCCATAAGGCTAATTCACATTTCCAACTGTTTTTTTTGTGTCTGATATTGTCTTCACCTCTAATTGCTAAAAGCCAAATGTATGCTTTTTACGGCATTTTTGAATGCTTGTATTTAAAAAGAGCTTTCATTCCACGCTGGAACTGCACAGCTGTGAAAAATCTCAAAGGTGGGAAATGAAATGGAGAAAATAGAAGTTTAACCTCAGAATCATCCTTGAGCCTGGCCAGGGTCTGTGCCAGGGGCTTTGTAGGATCCCAGACTCAGGATTGAAGGATCCAAAAGCAGGAAAACTAGTATCATAACAGCCTTCCTGTGTGGAAGAGCTGATTTTTGGAAGCGCTTATTTTTCATACTTCATCCATGCTGAATACATTTTAAATTACTTCTTTGACCACAGTGTTAAAGTTAGGAGACTTTATTCCTCAATTATAATCCACACAGAAATCAGGTTGTACAACGCCAGCGCGCGGCTTTATTACAATGAAGACAGAAGTTAACGAGTGACAATTACTAGAGTTTATGGTGTGCTTTAGCAGATCCTGTAAGCCAGCTGAGGATCAAAGGTTGCACAGAGAGACCCAAGTGAACGTGACAGAGGTGACAGCTGAGGCCTGGTGACACTGTGGTGAGGGGGAGCCATCCCATCCTCAGGACAGAGCCCCCAGGCACCCCCAGCTGCAGGTGAGCACTTGGGTCCCACCCTGAGCCCCACCGAGCATCTGACACAGAAAACTCACTAAAGGTGGCAGTGAGAGGCTCAGATAACTCACAGCAATACACTTTATTTTCACCAATAGCTGTTTTCTTCAGCTTTACAATAAAAAAAAACCAGTTAACTCGCCAGAAATGGGCACTCCTGCCCCCCAGCTTCATCCCTGTTTGATTCTTCCGCAGATTGTTGTTCTTTGGGTTTCCTCAGAAATCCCTCTTTGAGCCTGGGAAAGATACTGGAGAGGGCAGAAATTCACCTTGCAAATGCTTCATCAGCTGAAGCAACTTCCTTTTTTTTAATTATGGTCAGATGCCATAAGGCCTTAGAACATCACGTACTTGTCAGAAAGGCGTTCCACTCTTGTGAAAGATTGCGGTTTTTTTAAAATCTGCCACTAAAAATACTAAAATGTGACACTAGCATGAGACTAATGGTATAAGCAAGAAGAATGACACTGATTAAAACAAGGTAATTTAAAAAAAAAAACAACCCTTTTTCCTATATAAAAAAGGAAACCTAGGTTTTAAGATACTACAAAGTTCAGGAGTACAAAAATATTTACCTTTTAGAAATACCCAAGCCTATGATCACATAAAATAAGTATCAACTTAATATAAAAATCTTCATAAAAATATGGCCACCTATATTTAACCAAGTCCTCAAACCTGTCCTACACTGATACAAAGGCTTTGTTGAGAAATTGAGTTATGTCTAAACACCTATTCTATAGATTAACTTTGTAATAAGTAAAAACAAGATTAAATAAGTAGAGAAATTCCAGCTTGGGAAGGGATGAGAAGGTCAGGGGTCACAGGATCATGGTTGCCTCATGCCACGTTACATTTATGGCAAAAGCGTAACTGCAGCAAATTATATATGAAAGGAAAGAGTATTTCTGCATCCCAAAGAGCAGCTTGATACAATTGCACAAGTTCCTTGGATTTAAATGTTATAAAACTTTATATTTGTGCTTGAACTTGCAGAGAGAGCCCCGTTCCTGTGCTGAGTGCCAGCACAAGACAACTTGCCATGAACCCTCACGTTTTGTTGGCCCTTACAGAAGATAATTTTTATTCATAGAGGATAAAAGTCAGTCTACCAGGTCTGATAGACTTTACGTGGCCATGAAGTGCATGTACAGCCAATAAATAGAAAAATAAAAGGTATTATACTTTTTTCAAATGATGTAGTGTTCATAAAACAGTAGTAGCACAACTCTAAGCTCTACATTTGAGTTTTCATCCAACCTAGCCTTCCTGAACTTTTAAAAAATGCATACATAACCTGCAGGATTTGAAAAACAAAACACTGGCCTTGGTGGTGTTTTTTTTTTTTGTTTGTTTGTTTGTTTTGGGAAAAAAACGGTGGTGGTTTTTTTTTTGTTTGTTTGTTTTGGGAAAAAAAACCCTGTGGTCCCAAGTTAGCCCTTTTGCTTTTTTAATGATCGCTAGCAAACATGTCCAGTGCAGAACATGAGCTTTTTGCTCATCAAATCCCCTTTCAGTTTGTAAATGGTACAAAGGGTTTTGCAGAGGCTTTTGAAACTACAACGAGCTTTCTCTGAAGGTACAAAACAACGTGGTATATAGTCAAATAAATGTTTTGGAAAAAACACCCTAAAAAAATCTAAAAAACTGCTTACACCAATATACCATGAAAAATTCCAAAAGCTTGAACTGCATGGCACGTTTGGATAGGGTCAGTGACTTGCCAAAGCCCGTGTATCTTTTGACAGTGGGCACGGCCCATCAGGTCAGCAGCATCAGTCAGTTGGGCGTTAAAGGCTTCCCCTGTCCCCAAACCCACCGAACGTTCACGAAGCCCATTCATGAGGCCAGGACCTCTCCTTGAGGGGCGCCTGCTGGGACTTTCAAAGACAGATACCCAGCTCCCCTCCATCCAGTCAAAACCCACAGTAAGAAAAACCACCAGCATTACCTTTTCTATAGACTGTTTTTTTCCTTCAAGCAGCTTTCATTGAGAACTTGGAGTCATTGCTGTTCCTAAGGCTCATTTCTAGCTTACTCCCCAAATCAATCGACTTTAGCACAGGCAGGTGCCCGTTTCTCAACAGGGACTGTATCTGCTGGCAAACCCCAGGTATCAGGACACTGAATTACAGCCTAAGGGTCCTACAGGAGTAGACAGCATCCGTTCAGTGAAGTATATATTTGGGTACAGTAGCACAGGGGATAATAACTACAGTGCAGTAGCATTGACTGTTGGGTTTTGGTCGTTTGGCAGAAAATGCATTTTGAGAAGATCTTGTTCTCCTTCCAGCCTCTCGGAGAGCGTGCATCCTCTTTGGCAGAAAATGCATTTTGAGAAGATCTTCTTCTTCCAGCCTCTCGGAGAGCGTGCATCCTTCTTTACAAGGGTGTTACCACAATTTTAGGATTCGCCTTGGAATTCCGAATGCCAGTGGTTTGCTGCCCATTTCTGAAACTGAAAGCAAGTGAAAAAACTGAGAAGCTGGAGAACATTTTGCAGGGTGACACCAGGTATTTCCTCCTCCTAATCAGCACTGCTAAAACAAGCAGGTTACTAACTGCTAATATACTATAAGTACTAATATAAACATTAGAAAAAAGCAAGTGCTCTGTAAAGTTTGCCTTTCCAGGAGGCAGAAGCAGTGCAGCAAAGAACACTTGGGACTTGGACCTAATTCAGTGACTGTAACTCAGTCTCTTTATGCAAGAAGCCTGCGAAGGGAATCTGGTTTGAGTCGAGGATTTCTAGCTCCAGTTTGCCTGCTGAGAAGTCGAAAAGCCATAGGTCAGACACATGAGAAGTCCCTAATTGTGATAAAGAGCAGCACGCCCTTCTCACGGAACCTGACCCGAAAATTCTTCTTATTCTGGAAGCATAATGACAGCTCCTTATACCGACCAGGGATCAGATACAGGCAGCTTATATTATTGCTTATAAGGGCACGTTCTGTCCCGGTACAAATTCTCGGGAAGCCGGGCAGTAGCTGTGCAGCTGCACTTTGGCTGATTCCGTTTCCCTCTGCTGCTCCCAAGAGTTTTCCTCCCTCAATAGTAACTCACAAACACCGTCCATCTCCTCTGCCCCGGCACCAGAATGTACCCACAGAGATTTCAGAGTTTGCTCAGGGTACCCTAAATAGCAGCGATGTCAGGGGCAAGAGAACTGTTGTTGCTCACAGCTAAACCAAATAAACCAGGAGAAAAGCTGTGCTGCATGACTCTGGCCTCCCAGATGAAAGAGGCCAGAATACTGACATCTTGTGTTTAATTTGGAGTAGCACCTAATGAACTTGCACTGAAAATATAAGCTGTCCTACTAAATGAATAGTTTAAACGAAGACTTGAGGAGAGTCAATGATATAGAAGGATGGAAAGCGTTGGGAGACATGAAGCAATGGTCTCAAGGTGATGTGAAGGTCAGCCTCACAAGTGCCCGCTCACCAGCATATCAGCCCTCAGGTTCAGAGATTCTGGAGAAACTGTGTAACTTCTGTCAAATTAACAACCGAAAAAAGTAATATATATCTAAAGAGGACTTTGAAAGCAGTGGAACTGATGAAACATGGTTACTGATTGTGAACAGGGATTGTTTTTGGAGCCTGGGATGAGTGAAAGCCACCTTACCATTTCACCTTCAGCATCTGCTCAAAGCTCTCGGGCAGGGGATGGCCGTAGCTCTCCGGGAGGAAGAGGGTGAGGATCCCGATGAGCACGGTCAGGCTGCCCATCAGGATGTAGGGCAGGTATCTGTCGTAGGCACCTGGCACAACAGGGGACACAACAACAGTACTCAACGGCCACGAGCAACAAAGCCATGGGTAAAATTTATATTCCAGACATTGCTGTCATGCAGAATTAATTTGGAATAATTTATGAAATTTCATAAATATCAAAGGTGAATCCAAAACTGAGTTTTGGCTGTTACCTACCAGCAAACAAAGGGATTTTCCAATTTTAAAACTACAACGTGCGCTCTAGGACGGTCAACACCCACCATCAGTTTCACGCCATCCCACACATTTGTGCTAAGGGTTTTTTTGTACATTTTCAACAGGAATAGCCAACGTTTTTTCAAGGTAACAGCTCTGCTGGGGTCACTGCTGGAGTCTTCAGGACTACACTGTCATCAGGAGCCGAATCCTCTCTTAAATAATCCAATGTGAGGGAATAAAAGTGCTCATAAGCAACCAAGCCCATCAGCTGCCTCAGGTTGTGCATCCTGCTTGGTTTAGGAAAAAAGCAGGGGAGAGACTGATGGCAGCTGAATGGGCCAATTTCAGACTAATAGGCCATTAACGGGGGAATTCTTAATTAATCCCCTTCCTTATTGCAAGGGGAGAAAGCATCAGGCCTTCAGTGAGAGACGGGAGGCTCTGACCTTGGTCTACTCAGAATATTATTTTGGCCGGGAAGGCAGCGGCCCCTGCCAGCAGCCTGAAGCTACCACACAAGTGTTGGAGCAGGACCTTCAAGTCACAATAGCACAGCAATCAAAAGGTCCTTCAGGAAAGGGATTAACTCGGATTTAAAGTATTTAAGGTAGAGAAAGTACCAAATTGGACTCGACAGCTTTATTTTTTTGTTGGGAGAGAGCAGCGTGCTGTATAATGTATGGAATAAACTGGGATTAAAGTGGAGCCCCCTGGGTATTTCACACAGAGCCAAAGTTTGTGATTTGATCTCTGCTGTGTTCACGAGCTGGATGAACTGCGAGGTCCTAATTTAGCTGCAGCAAATACCGGCAGCTGACGAGTTTCTCCTAAAATCTCTTAAAGTTTAGGAAAGTATTCTGATGACTGGGACAAGATTATTTTTTTAAAGGCTGAGCCATGGAAACCTGGGAGAAACAAAACCAACAGTAAAAACTTCATCCTGTTTACATCTCTATAGCCTGTGCTGCAACGGAGACTGAAGACCTTAAGGAGCATCGCAGTCCTGCTGTCCCTTTACTTTATGCTTGCACCAAACAAAACCAACAGTAAAAACTTCATCCTGTCTACATCTCTATAGCCTGTGCTGCAACGGAGACTGAAGACCTTAAGGAGCATCACAGTCCTGCTGTCCCTTTTACTTTGCGTTTGCACTGTACAAATATGAAATAAAGACATGTATTTTCATCATTTCTGGTACAGTGTGTTAGTGTCACACTGGAACACAGAGGTGACCTACAGTTAGTAGCCTCCTCTGCCCTTTCCCAGCACCATGAACCAGCATTAACCCCTGAGCCGGACACCAGCTCCACCAGAGTCATCCTCAATTCTTATCAAAGGTCTCAGCAGGAAGCAAAACCTGTTGGGCGCAGGGGAGAGCTGAGATGGGTCCAGCGATGGGAGAAGGAAATAAATCACGTGTGAGCAAAAGAAACAGGAGATTGAGCACCCCAGACTGAGCAGCCAGTATTCACAGATACTTCCACCCTTAATCCCCTAATCTCTCTCACCCTTTCCTGTCTGCACTGTGAGGAACATTTCTGTGTACTTAAAAAAAAACAAAACACAAACCCACAAGATTAATCAATTAATATTTGTGCAGCACTCAGAACGTGATGGTAATGAGTGTCAACAAAAAGCTTGTGAGGAAATTAGTAATTTACTTACAGACCAAGGCATGAACAGTAAGAAATAGCAAAATGAGTGCTGAGGTGCCTGTTTTAGTAACTCAAAAAAAAATAAATCACCTCACAAAGATCACAATTAAAAACTCTTTTGTGGTGTTGTTTTGTTTTTGTTTTTGTTTTTTTCCCCCCATGGATTTCTCTGGAAAGCACAGCTTATTCCTGCCTGGTTCCTGAGATACCCACCTCGGGATGCACATGAAGAGTACAACGCAGTGAATTTCCTACTGCTAGAGGTCCTTAATTGCAAAATCACTTCTGGGAAACTTACTGGCGTCCCAGGGATAACACCCATTGCCAAGATGTGACCAGTTTATCATTCCAACCGCTCCACTCACACAGTTTATGAACACTGTCAATTCTCTTGGACCAGCTCTGCCCCACTCCGGTGCCGTATGAACAGTTTCTAACAAAAGTGCCTTATTCTTCTGTGAAACCCAAAAAGCTCCCCTTCATTTCTACAGTGTACGACAGCAAACTCAGACCCAAAGTGAGAGAAGGGACTTAAAAGAGAACAAGTGATGGGACGTAAGGCTGAGCCCGCACTGCAGAAGCTCCAATAACTTCTCCGGGCAGTTGGGTAGCACGAGGCAAGGAAGGTGAGGTGTCTCACCCAGGTACACGAAGTAAGGAGCGATGATGCTGCCCAGCCTGGAGGCCGTGGAGGTGGCTCCCACAGCCATGTTCCTCACCAGCGTTGGGTACAGCTCCACGTTGTAGACATACAGCATTGAAAAGGCAGCCGTGATGCCGAACTTCCCAAGCATCACCAGGCAAACCGACAGGGCGTTAAAGTCTGGAGGAGAGAAAAAGAAAATCAAAGTGAATAAACAACACTGCTAATTACTTCTATTTCTTTTACATCCCAAGACCATATCACTGTTTTTTCCATAGCGGTTGCATGTGTTTTGTTTTTTAATTATACAATATATTAGTCCCATCCCTTGATAACTTGTCTGCAAACTTCCCACTGAGCATAGTATCAATGCTCAGGTTATTTTGTTCTTTTTAGATTTTGGTTGTCTCCCAGCAAAACAGCATTCTTGGAAGGGAACAAAATTCTGGATATCACACAGCAACAAAGCACAAGCTGAAGTCCACCCCTTTTTCACAAAATCCCGTGGAGATTTACATACAGTGATATCTGGAAGACTTGCAGGGTTTTTTTTTTAGCCTCCACACACCTCCAGATAATTCACAGTAAACTTTTGGCTCTCATTTTACAAGCTGGTTCCCCTGGACTATAAAAAGCTCAGTAATTTGACACAATAAATGAGAGCTGTGGGTGACTCAGCATATATATATATATGCATATTAAAAAAATAATAATCACCCCTGCAAGTGGTCAGGATAAACTTGACCTCAAATTCTGAACTTGAGCATAGTTTCCCGTAATTTTACGGAACTATTAGACTGTACTGTGAAATATTTCTAACATTTTATATCCTTAAGTCACGTATTTCATTTTTGTACCTGCAGGAACCAGCTGAATGAAGAGGACAACACCTCCCCCCAAGAAAAGGGTGCCCGACAAGGAGTAGCGCCGAGGGAGGGAGCGGAGGAGCAGCCAGGCAATCACGTAGGCTGGGACTTCAATAACAGCTGAGAGGAAACAGTTGAGGAAGGCATTTCCATGCCAGTTTGGAGTGCTGAGGGACAGGCCGAAGTAACCAATGGACGTAAAAAACCTGAGAAAAGCAATAAAACCAAATGATTCCAGAAACACCACTCTCTGAACGCCTCCAGTGCTGCCTCAGGTTTTGTTACAAAAATAGGATGTCGCAACGCATGGCCACAGGCATCGTGGCTTAAAAAAAACTTCTCAGTGGCAACCCCATCTTTCTAATTCTGTCATCCCTTCCAGGGATCATATCCACAGCGGCTTGAAGAGACCTCTGATTTCTCTGTCCTTCCTGCATATGCTAGACCGAGTAAAAGGCTTTGTGGAAGTCGTTCACAAAGGCTTTTCACTGCAATGGACTCATTAACGGCACAACAAAATGACTCTTGAGAGCTTCCCATGCCAACTACATTCCTACTCGTAGCCAACTCCAGTGCCAGGGTCTCCCACCCTCAGCAGTTCCGTTACATCTTATTTAATCTTCACGAGAGAGCTGGACGTTCAGGTTTCAAAGCTCAAGAGTGCCTTACTATGGCATGCCAAGGGTGCTAGCCAGTTCCTTTCTGGGGGAAATATATACCAAAAAGGGTCCTGGTTTGTCTATATGGTATTATTGGGTCCTCATTCCTTGTGGCTGCCCAGTCAGGGACCAGGATCTCACTGAGATGGGCACTGCACAGAAACAGAACAACACCGCTGGCCACGGCTCTGCTTCTTGTTATTTTACTGAGTTGCTGCCTCTGCTTCAAGAAGGACATTTCTCTTCAAACAGAGAGATTACAGAGATGGGAGTTTCTTTAAAAAAAAACAACAAAAACCACACAAAACCAAAAAGCAACAGAATTTAAAAATACATAAGTTGTTACATACAGTTTCCTAACTATTTTACATCTGAGTCGAGGCTCCATACTCTTGTGTATTAATGCAGTGCGGGTGCAAGGACACCAAGGGCCAGGACTGTGTGTAGATGGGCTCCAAGGCTGAGACTTATTACCTAAACCTGGGGCACGTGCCCTCAAATCAGGAATTGTTCTATTGCCTGGGTACTTTAGGAATACACATTTCCTTACCACAAAAGTAATGACATAATAGTAATAGTTGCAATGTTTCGGGTTCGAAATAGGTCCAGAAGGATAGCCTTCTGCTGCTGCTGAGGCTTCGAATCCTGCATCTGAAGGAAAAAGGAAAACAAAACCAAAAAAATTCCCACACACCTAAGAGCAAAACAACCTCTGCACACCCACGGGTTTGGGCAGTTAGGAAGTTACCACTCTATCAGGGGACAACCAGTCAGCCCAAGGGCCCTGCACCAGGGAGGGCAGTCCTTAGGTAGAGCTTCTCTCTGCACCCAGCTCTACTCTGCAGGAGTTTCCAGGTTTTTGTTAAAAAAAAAGGTAGCACTGAGACCCTGCACGGCGCTGACTAATTAAAAAGGAGTATCAGCTGACAAGAATGATGCATTAACGCTTCCTCAAGGATCTAACACAGTGCTTCCTCATTACCAAAGGTGTTTTTCCGTGCACTGTCCACTCTCTTCTCATCAACCTTCCCAGACGACGTGAAATAAATGCAGAAAATCACCCAGTTTTGCTGTCTGCCAGTGCCCAGCCAGGGAGGGGGACACATGCTAGAGCTTGGCGTGGTGGCCAGGGTGCATCACAGATGAGTCCACCACCCCCAATCAGAGACAGGGGGTCTGCTTTGAGCTTGAAGTAGGAATCTTCTGGGTGGCATGAGGTTGCCCTTCTGCCTGCACGGAGAGCCCTCGCCGGGGCAAAACCAGTGCTTCCCCCCAGGCCCAAAGAGCCAACCACCCTGACCCTCCCTATGGGGCTCCCCAGGAGATCTCCTTTCCAAGAAGAAGAGGATCATTTCCGAGGAATGTCTTTCTAGCAACAGTCGAAAAATACTTCCAACAGAGGACTTAATGTGCAAACATCATCCTCAGGCTTTTGTAGACACTTTGGCATGGAAGATTCCTGTGGAGTAAAGGGCAGCTGAGATGCCACTTGGTCTCAAAAATATGCAGGAGTTTGATGAAAAGCAAACTCAGGAGCCTGAAAAAGTCATTTCCAGTATGAAAGGCATTGGAACTCTCTCTGTGAAGTCAGGAAAGTGCTTTTCCATGGTTTCTGTAGGATAAGCTTCCTGTAGCTGGAACATTCACCTCGATTTACACTTAGAACATACACTTGGAAAAGAGATCTTCAGCAGCTCAGCCAAAACGTGAGCATGGCATTCCAGAGGAGGTGGAGCACCTGCATCTCTCTCCTGCAGATACTATGGTTGCTGGTTTCTTTGCAAAAGAAAAAAAAATGCCTGTGCCTCTTCAGCAAGAGCTCCAGCCAGGGCAGAGCCACTAGAAGGGGAGATGAGCACAAGAACCAGCCATCCCTGCTGCTCCCCAGCTTGCTGGGGTGCTGGGTTTGTGCTAGACTTTCTCCTTTTAACCAATAAACATGAAATACAGGAAAAAAAAAACCCAACAAGCCTGAAGAAGAGCTTCACTGTTCTTCACTGCCTTCTCTACTGTCGTGGTTTTCAAGTGCCCTTGTAGCACTCGGGTGCTCTGGCTGATTTGTGCAACCTGAAGAGTCCCTTGGGCCCCAGGCAGCCCCAGCACGTGGGTGCTGATTTAGGATCCCCTACACAGCCCCCCAAAAAAGGGCTGCTCTTAAACTGCAAATCGCTAATACCACACCAAGCTGAAACGGGGACAAACACGTCTTCCTCGGGTCTCCTCAGTGCCCGAAGGATGGAGCAATCTGGGTCACCCTTGCTCTGAAAACCACAACCAACCACTGCCGAGGAAGAGAATTTTACTGTTAAAAAAACAACCAAGCAAATAAAAAACTCCCTCTGGCTTCTTATTTTGAACTCGCCAACCCGGCGCTTACCTCACGCCAACAGTCACAGAGCTGCTGGTGCAGACCCTGTCTCTGCTGGCATCTCCCAACTCAACTGGCCAAAGGGGGAAACTGCCAGCGAGGAGAAGTACCGGGACGTATGAAACGTACCTCCATGGTGTTGAAGAGCTCGGCTGGGACTGAAACACCATTCATTTTTGCAGCCTTTCGGATAATAGCCTCTGCCTCCTTATATCTTCCCTGGGAGATAAGCCACCGAGGGGATTCAGGAATGATCCTGCAATAAGTTTCAGAAGAAATGACTCAACGCTTTCACAAAAGCACAACGTTATTAAAAACACATGTATGGCTTTTCTGAGCTACGCTCTCATCTCCCAGATTGCTTGCAGCAGGAGACAGTCAGCACAGAAGCATGTGGGCAATGTAATTCATGGATTTATCCCACTGGGATCAGTGGGAGACTTCAAATATAGGGGATGTGTTTATTCTCGTGCAGAAGTAGGTGCACACTTGGGTCCTTGATTTTTAAGGAATAATTAATGTTCACCAGAAAGAAACCCTGATGTCACCAGACAGCAAGGACAGGGGCAGCTTAGCCAGTGTTGAGCAAAAATATTCTGAGGAAAGTGCACACGATGTGGAAACGCTTTAACTATGCCCAGGGTATATTTAAAGTCTCTTCTGTCATAGGAATCTTGTATACAAACCTCACAATTTTACCACAGCTCTGAGGAAGGCTCTCCCAGGCAGAGGACAGTGTGTCCCCTCATGGAGTCGATGTCATTTTCTAATCAATTCCAGGCATGTGTTGAGTGAATTAACATCAAACACAGGACAGAAAACCTCACCTTTCCTTAACTAAATCCTTTTGAGCTTAACAGGTGCTGCCTTCCTCCCTTTAGGGGAGGCACTTTTTCCTCTCCTTGGAAAAAAGCAGGTCAGACACTCCTTTTCTGATGAACTCCCTGAAGGACTGAGCCAAAGCCATGTCAACGGTTTTGACCATCAGATGATTTATATCAGATTGTTCAACCACTGACGTGACTTTCTGGAAGGTGAGCTGTCTCCACTTCTCCTCACTGTGGGCAAGCTGAGGGACACAAGACTGCAGAGATGATGCTGGGAACCTTCCGGAGAATTTAGAAGAGGAATGAATAAAAGAGCAACTATGGCACAGAGCAGTGAGATGTGCAAGTCACATTGGCCATGGAAGCAGTGGGTCCAGATGCCCAAATACCAGCTGACACCAACCTGCCTGGGCAGAGCTTTGCCAGTGCTCCTTGTTCCCCATCTACCACCACGTTGGCTCCAGACTGGAAGTGCCAACCATGCACATTTTTAGCATGCTTTACAACGTACGCTCTTAAAAAGCATGGAAATTCCCACCAAATGCATTTCAAAGCAGGACTCTGAAGCCCTGGGGACAAATTTCATCCGCCTCATGGGGCCTGTTCCATAGCAGATGTCTGAGAGGCTTCCACTGAAAACCAGCCTCCCCAAAGAGCAGCTGCTCGATGCAGAGAGAAATGCTGCCGTGTTAAAGGAGTTTGAAACATGTCGAGTTAAATAAGCAAGTCGACCTTTAAACAGAATCAGACTATCTTTAAAGTCAGATTATATCAGAGGTGGAGCTGAAAACCATTTGGAAGGTTTGGTTTGATTTGAAGACTAAGATAAAAAACCCCAAACAAACCAAAACCATGAACAGAGACTTCTGACAAACCTGGGATCTGCATGAGGTCTTTCAGACTATAGAAGAGTGGGTCTAAATCACTTAACTGTTACAAAGACATTCATCTTTTACTTACAGGTGTAACTCTTTCACAGTAACAGGAAGAAAGGAAGGCATTCTTTTTGTTGTTTATTATCTTATTTTAAGAGCGTGAGCGATACCTTGCCATTCCCTTCCTATTTTATAAACATCTGTCTCTTCAGAAAACAACAGATGACCAAGGCAGCAACAGAACAAGGATATCTACTCTTCTTCACTGCTTCTGTCCAGCTGAGAAGAGCAGGGAGTTTTCCTAAACTGTTTTTCATTCCCCCAGGGCTGAGCAACCATGAACAAGTTGGGGTGAACCCACGTCCCCACCAGTGCATTAGAGCAGGGGTGAGTGAATGGAACGGAAAGACAAAAGAAAACATGGATTCAGACACCAAGAGGACAGCGTGGGGTGGCCGAGAGGAGCACGGTGAGGAGGAGCCAGCTTTTGGCTTAGCCAGAGTTACCATGGGCTGAAGGAGCTCCCAAATCAAAGTCCTGCTCCAGCAGCCAAAGCAAAGCCTGGGAGGACACACGGCTCCCAGCAGGCAGAGCCCATGGGCTGGCAAACACTGTCACTTAACGACATCTAGTGCAATGAACTGCTTAATGACATCAAGTGCCATAAACCACCAGCTGCTGCGTGCTGGGTGAAGGGGTTCAGCCTGTCCCTGAGATTACAGAACCAATCAGCAGTGAATCTGCCTTAAAAAAAATCACTTAAAGAAAAAAGGAAGGAGGAAAAGTTAGAAGGAATCACCCAGCAGTACTACGGGGGTAAACCTAGATGTGGTTAACAGTGCCCAGGGTTAGGAGTCAAACACAGAATTCCCAACCTCCTCTGCAAAACCAGTGACAAAGTGGCTTCAAGGACAGGGCCAGCACCAGCAAGGCTCTGCAGGTAGGTAGTTTGACTTAAAGTTGTCCAAAAAATCCCAGGCTCTGCAGGTAGGTAGTTTGACTTAAAGCTGTCCAAAAAATCCCAAAGTCGTGGCTGAAGGGTTCAAGGGCAGGTTGGAGGGGGCTTGGAGCAACCTGGGCTGGTGGGAGGTGTCCCTGCCCAGGGCAGGGGGTGGCACTGGGGGGGCTTTAAGGTCCCTTCCAACCCAAACCATTCTGTGATTCTATGAAAAAAATCTCAAGGCAAAGCCTCCTCACGTGGCAAATGGGGGAAAAAAACAACCCTAAAGAGGAGAAATGGGGTCCCCCCGACCTCCGGTGTGGGAGGGGAAGGGGGGGAGCGTGGCGTCGCGGCGCGGGGGGCACTCACCACCAGAGCGGGATGCAGAACAGCCCCGGGACAGTGAGCGCCAGCAGCAGCATCCGCCAGTCTCTGATGAAGTAAGCAAACAGGGGCAGCAACATGTAGCCAATTGCAAAAAATATGCAAACTCCTAACGTAGAGAATATAATACGAACTGATTTGCCAAGAATTTCTGTGCCTGTTTAAAACAAGGGAGGTTGGATTAGCATTTTTAGCTCTCTCTATTCAATCATGACTAAATACTTTACTGCATTTACAAAAAAATAAGTTAACAAATCTCAGAAAAGAGCAGTTTCTCTTATGACACTTAAAGGGACACTGCCAGGGAGTAACGGTCCATGAGATGATCAGCATCACAGTGACACGAATCTGGCAGGAGAGTCCTCCAGATTTCTGTTGTGCATCAACCCTGGAGCTGCCATTGAAGCACCCGGAGACCAGCACCCTTTGGGCTCTTCCAGTACCCCGGCAGTCTGATACAAACCCATTTTCAATGCTAAATGTAGTTGTAAAGGCAACATCTACACATTTCCTCTGTTATTACCCTCAGTATTTGCTCACAGATCTAGCAGAGACCCGTGGCTCAGTGAGTTCTCCTCTGCTGCAAAAATTAGCAAAGTAAAAAAACAACAGCTGACAGTGGCCTTTTAATGAAGTTATCTTGTTCACTTCTGCTGGGTGTTTAAATGAGAGGGAACAAAAAATGAAGGCTGTTGTGGGGAAGCCTCTCTGGTTTGCTCAAGGACACCAGGATGAAGGACTCCCAGTGCAGGCTGATGGAGCTCCCAGTCCATCTCCCACCCATGGCCAGAGGCAGATGTGAGTGTGAAGGCACGAAGGTACCTTAAACCAGCTAAACCAGCTTAAACCTAAACCAGCTCATCCAATGGGCAGTGACTTGGATGTATGTTTAAAGCCCAAATATTGCTCGGCCGGTATGTTTAAATCCCAAATATTGCTTGACACTGCAGCACTTCCCTGCAGCAGCGAGTCCCACACCTTCCAGCTGCATCAAACAGCCCATAATGTCCCCTCCTCATGGGAAGGACGGAGCAGAGGGGGTTTCAGTTGTCCCCATTAGACTGATTTCCAAAACACAGAGTCACCTGCAGCACAGAACCAGCCCTCCCCGGGCAGAAAAGCTGCTGGGATTATCGGGGACCTTCAGATGAAGGAGCCGCTTCTGTTTGCTTTGATTAATGCATTGTCCAAGAGAGATAAGGGCAGGCACAGGGATGGGCAGCAGACTTTTGGGAGCCTTCCCAACACGCCTGGCTGGGACAGCCTGCTCCCCAGTTAACCCACTGGGATTTAAGGTGAAACCTTCTGGAGGATCGAAGGATTTAAGGTGCTCTTCCAGAGGAGAGCAGCTCTGTGGATGGCAGACCAACACAGGTGCTTTGGGATGAAAGGATGTGAATTTACAGTGAGGTGGGAACAAATTTAACAGCAGCGAGTCCCACACCTTCCAGCTGCATCAAACAGCCCATAATGTCCCCTCCTCATGGGAAGGACGGAGCAGAGGGGGTTTCAGTTGTCCCCATTAGACTGATTTCCAAAACACAGAGTCACCTGCAGCACAGAACCAGCCCTCCCCGGGCAGAAAAGCTGCTGGGATTATCGGGGACCTTCAGATGAAGGAGCCGCTTCTGTTTGCTTTGATTAATGCATTGTCCAAGAGAGATAAGGGCAGGCACAGGGATGGGCAGCAGACTTTTGGGAGCCTTCCCAACACGCCTGGCTGGGACAGCCTGCTCCCCAGTTAACCCACTGGGATTTAAGGTGAAACCTTCTGGAGGATCGAAGGATTTAAGGTGCTCTTCCAGAGGAGAGCAGCTCTGTGGATGGCAGACCAACACAGGTGCTTTGGGATGAAAGGATGTGAATTTACAGTGAGGTGGGAACAAATTTAACGTTTAATTTTTGGAATATAGGCTGGAATGTCGGACCAGCACATCACAGCCTGTGGGACACAACCAGGGAAGATGCCATCTTCTAATAACCCTACTGCTCCAGCAGTCAATAAAGCATCCTACAACCCCTATGTCATGTGCAGCCTGGTACCATCCTAATATCTAGTAATAAAAACAGAGACTAAAGCCTTCAAGAGCACCTAATGTCTTTTCCAATAAAATACCCTGCCACTGCTTAGTAAAATCCACAGACAACCCCAGTACCCTGCCACTGCTTAGTAAAATCCAAGGATGACCCCAACTCCACCTCACTCCTCGCTGAGCTCCCAGGGTCTACAGAGCTCTCCTCTCCCTCAGGGGCACCTCAAGGGCAATAACTCCCACAGTTTGATCCGAACTCAATTAAAAAGCAAATGACACTGAGCGAACAGGAAAGTCTCAGGTTGTGTAGAGTGGTAAGAACTCAACGTTTAATATTGCAGAGAAAACGGAAAAAATACCCAAGACTAAAAAAATAAATCCTATTTGATAGCTACACAAATTTTCATTTTAGAAACTTGAAGTAACTGAATAAAGTCACAGTGAGAAAGCTGAAAATAAGAACTCGGATTGAAATGGTGTGTGGGGATAAATTATATCATCTTTTTTTAGAAACTTGAAGTAACTGAATAAAGTCTCAGTAATAAAGCTGAAAATAAGAACTCTGAGGGATTGAAATGGCGTGTGGGGATAAATTATATCATCTTCCTCTAGAGCGGCTCTCGGGAGAGCTCTGATACTGGAAACATTGGTTTATCCCTATTAAGCATTACGTTGTAATTTGAGGCAATCCAAAGCCAATATGAGATGACATGTTTCAACTACAATTATCTTCTCTCCTGCCTCTCCTCCCTCATCCTGCTGGCCAGGAAAATAACAGTTCTGGGAGGCTACCAGCACGCCTTCACAAATCTGAGGAGCGTTTTACGCTCCCAGAAATGGAACACAACAGTTTTGAGTGCTGAAAACAACCGAGGCCTAAAGCTAAGGAAAAATGCTGCAGAGAGAAATTTCAAAAGATGTGGTTGGAAAAAAAAAATAATAAGAAAAGAAATCTCTACAGTATTTCTCCAGCAGTTTAAGGGGGAAACTGAAATTCTCATGGAGGTGGGCAGCACAGAGCCAAGGGCAGGAGGCTGAGGGTGCTGGAGCAGGGTCTGAGGGAAACCGGGTTTAGATGCTGAAAGCTGGGCTCGAGTGGCCACTTGAATAAGAAAAACCCCACTCAGGGATGCTCCCCATAGAGAACAAAACAAACCTCGGTCTCTAAAAATTGGGACTTTATCGTTAACCTGGGCACTGAGAGCGGTGACTTTATGGTTCATGGGGCTCTGATGCCCACCCGGACCCTCTGCTCCTGTCCCCCCTGCATGTGCTGTGCCTGGAAAGGTGGGTTTGCTCCAAGGCTTTGCACCCAGGTACACACCGACCCCTCTGCAATGGGGCAGAGAGACAGGGAGGAACCCCAACGCCTCCTCTATCTCAGACCTGCTTCTGCTGATAACAAACCCCAAATGCTGCCTTGAGCTTCTTCTCCAAAGAGAGAAACACATTCTTATTTACAGTCTTCCTGTCTCTTTTTGTTCTCTAACCCTATAGAAACTATATGCCTCAAGTATCCAAGAGGAAAAAAAAATCATACTGGCCTAAATTCGGAATTGTACCAGTGAGGATTTACCACTGTCTAATTAAATGATACGAGTTCAGAGAGTAAAAAATCACCAACAAAACAGTACATTAAGGAAGCATTTAAGGTAACGAAGACATATTCATACCCAGTATGAAGGCCACCACGTAGTTAGAGATCTGTCCCATCCCCACTATGAGAAAGAGCACTGTGAACATCTCCCAGCTGGTGGAGAAGATCTGCACGAAGCTGAAGCCTGTCTGCACGGCCATCGTCAAAAAAAGGATATTCTTCCTGCCAAACCTTTTGCAAAAGATAAAGGAGATTATTACTGAAACAGCGTTTATTTAGGGAGCAGGAGGGAACACAAATACCCAGTCTCAAGAGATGCAGCTTAAAAGAACCTGAAGTTTCATTCATTTTAAAGAATTTTTTTCCATAAGTGATAAAAAAAAAAATAAATAAATTCCCAAATTTCCAAGACCCAGGAAATAAACCAAGAAGAAAAATTAAGAGCAGAAACTTCAGGGAGCCACTAGAGAGGGACTAAAGAGACTAAAGAACAGGAGATAAGCAGGAGGGGCAAGAAGACAGAGCCACACAGGCAGAAGTTAGGAAATGATGGGGTTCAGGCTACTGGTGTCCATACACTGCAAGCCCCTGATTTAGGAAAGGTTTCTGCAGCAGCGCAGGGGAAACAGCTCAGGTATCAACTCAAAACACACCCCTTTACTTAATTATTAAAAAATAATAATTAATGAATAGCTCTTGGTAAAGATGAGCGGGCTCTCGGGGAGGCTGTCCCCAGTGCTCCCACGTGGCACCAGTGGGATTTAGTGATTATCTCGTCTCCCTTTCAGACACTAACACCCCCTGACTTCTGCACCGGGGGCAGGAGTCGGGAGATTAAATTCGGATCACATGGAACTTAACGCTGGAGGCTTTAGGATTAAGAATCCCACTGGGTTTTGAAACCCCTCTGTTAAACACCCCGAGGAGCGGCTGCTCTTAAATCCCCCACTGACAGGCAGCAGCCAAAGCAGCACCGCAGACCCCACCAGAACCATGTGTTAAAAAAGGCTCGGGGCTGTATAAAGAGGGAGGCAGAGACTTGCAGAATATATTCTGCATTCAACACTTGTGAGACCAAAATTTCAATAGTGCTGAGATAATTATCAAAAGCCTATAATGACTTTTTGGTATTTTACATGTACTTAGTTAGATGGTATGTCACAATTACTATCCATTTTACAGGATATCTTTTTTCCTTCCTCTTGGGCTGCTCTTAAATCCCCCACTGACAGGCAGCAGCCAAAGCAGCACCGCAGACCCCACCAGAACCATGTGTTAAAAAAGGCTCGGGGCTGTATAAAGAGGGAGGCAGAGACTTGCAGAATATATTCTGCATTCAACACTTGTGAGATCAAAATTTCAATAGTGCTGAGATAATTATCAAAAGCCTATAATGACTTTTTGGTATTTTACATGTACTTAGTTAGATGGTATGTCACAATTACTATCCATTTACAGGGTATCTTTTTTCCTTCCTCTTGGATCTGCTTACTTTATTTCCAGCAAACCACCTCTTCTATGCAGAGCTTCCACTCGAAGGACAAGCCTCTACCCTGCAGCTCTAAGAAGGGACTGCTAGTTAATACCTGACAAAGAACAATATCTTTTAAACTACTAAAAAGCCTGGGTAAAGAACTAAATGCAGTTGAGAAGTGAAGACCACCACATCAATCTGGAAAGCAGCCACATGGGGCACTTCAGGAGACCAAGAGCTGATCTCCACAAGCATCCAAGAGGCTCGGGGGTAGATCAAGGTTAGGATTTTGGAGATCATTTTGATCAAAACTCAGAGAAATGGACACATAACGGCCATACTCCAGCCATGGCAGCAGGTCTGCCCTGCTCTGCCCAGGGTGGGAGCAGGCCCAGTGGCGTTACCTGTCCGAGAGCTGCCCCGAGATGAAGGAGCCGATGAGGACCCCCACAAAGAAGAGGGAGGTGGTCAGAGGGGCCTTCCAGTCGTCCTCGCACACCAGGTTCCACTGCAAGAGAAGGGCTCGTGCTCAGAGGCAGCCGCAAGGCCGCGTCCAGGCCTCGTCCTGGCCCGGGGGTTCCTGGCTGAGACACACACTTATTGCCCTGGAATTTAATTCACTTTCCCCGCAGCCACGTTTCCGCCTGTCGCTGGCACCAGCACCATTCCCACAGCGAAGGTCGCTGCCAGGACACCCTGCTTCAGGGAAAAAAGGGACAGCAGTTGCCTCCCCAGGCAAGTCCCATCAGGCCGGAGCCCCCCAAAATGCTGGCAGCCACCTTATGGGACCACAAAGCTTCCCAAAACACTGGTAGCCACCTGATGGGACCCCAAAGCTTCCCAAAACGCTGGCAGCCACCTGATGGGACCACAAAGCTTCCCAAAACACTGGTAGCCACCTGATGGGACCCCAAAGCTTCCCAAAACGCTGGCAGCCACCTGATGGGACCCCAAAGCTTCCCAAAACGCTGGTAGCCACCTGATTTTCAGGGAAAAAAGGGACAGCAGTTGCCTCCTCAGGCAAGTCCCATCAGGCCAGAGCCCCCCAAAACACTGGCCTGGTAGCCACCTGATGGGACCCCAAAGCTTCCCAAAACGCTGGCAGCCACCTGATGGGACCCCAAAGCTTCCCAAAACGCTGGTAGCCACCTGATTGGACCCCAGAGCCTCCCAAAACGCTGGTAGCCACCTGATGGGACACATCACTCCAAAGTGGGCCAGTAGCCAGCGATGCCAAACCCGATGGGCAATCAGTGTGTGCAGCCCAGGGGCTACCTCAGCCCCATCTCCAGCACAAGCCCCACACTACACACTTACCAGCCCCCCCAACACCCAGGACCTGGCTCCCCACGGTCCAGGATGCTCCCCACCAGAAGAGCAGTGATGGAGAAGGGTGAGGGACTGCCCCATCCCCACCTGGGACCAGTTTCCAGTTTACCTGACCTCTGCCAGCACAAAATACTGCTGCGTTTCTACAGCTTCTGGGTTTGACGAAACACAAGCAAGAAGATGCAGGAAATAAACCTCCTTTTCCTGCACTGCCCTGTTTCCAAATTCCTTTTCCCTCCCCACAACCTGCGGGGCTGACTCACTGCCTGTCCCTCAGCCTCCCCACCAGACCCGGCTGGGGCGGGAGGCTTAGGACAGGAGCCAGCGTGGAAACTTCCACCTAAAGCCGTTTAGTAACCCCAGAGAAGGTTTAAAAAAAAAAATAAAAAATAACAAAACCAGCGTTATGAGCCTCTGTCCACAGAAGTTACAGCTGAGCGTGTTTCTGCCGCGGCTTGCTCCCATCCCAGTGACTAATCCCCCAGTTAAGGGCTACCTGCCAGGAGAGCTTACGGATAGACTTCAAAGATGTCACATCAGATAATTCTACCACAAAGGTAAGATAATCAGCTCACAGATCAAAGTGTAGCCTAATTTTGATAATGATCCATGCTATCAGAGAGCGGGGACACTGCCTGCACCAGCGCTCACCCTGTGCCCAGGGAACAGGGTGGCTGAGCCCTCTGGGCCAGTGGTGGCCCAGCCCAGGGCAGTGGAGCAGAAACCTCCCCTCCGGGCTGCTCGGGCTCCTCAGCTGCAGGGGATAGAGAGGAGCAATTCTTGCTTCACAGAGAGACCCAGGTGCCACCTGACAGCCCTGCGAGTCCTGCCCAAACCAAACCAGACCCCTGGTGGGTCAGTGGTGGGGCATCACTTCTGCTGCTGCTGCTGCAGAAGAAGCAGCAGAGGTGAATCCCAAAGCAAGGTGGGGACGTGGTGTGGTTCCAGGCTATAATTTAGGAAAGCAGTGCAATCAATGCCTATTTTCAGGCAGAATGAAGGTGTGATGGGGGGAAAGCAGGCTGAGAGAGTTGGGGTTGTCCAGCCTGGAGAAAAGAAGGCTCCAGGGAGACCTTATAATGGCCTTCCAGTGCCTGAAGGGGCTACAGGAGAGATGGGGAGAGACTCTTGATCAGGGAGGGGAGCCATAGGACAAGGGTAATGGTTTTAAATTGAAAGAGGGAAGATTTAGATTGGATACTAGAAAGAAATTCTTTACCGTGAGGGTGCTGAGGCACCGGAACAGGTTGGCCAGAGAAGCTGTGGCTGCCCCATCCCTGGAGGGGTTCAAGGCCAGGTTGGAGGGGGCTTGGAGCAACCTGCTCTGGTGGGAGGTGTCCCTGCCCAGGGAAGGGGGTTGGAACTCGATGATCTTTAAGGTCCCTTCCAACCCAAACCATCCTGTGATTCTATGAAGTGGGTACCTTTGCCCCTCTGCCCAGCCTGCAAAGCAACACCAGCTATGGGGCAAAAAAGAGACGTATCGAGTTTAAAACCCCAGCCCACGCCTCTTCCTGAGGAACCCAGAGTCTTTAACAGTGGGAACGTGGAGATTCGAGGAGTGAAACGTGCCCTCTGATACTTAGGTCTGATAAAGAACAAGAAGAAACCTTCTGTAAGGTATTTTCTGGTTCCTGCTGGGACAGGAGGGGTGGACAGGGCTGGCACCGGCTTATCTTCGCTTATCCTTGCTGGATTTGATAAGGTGGATGGGAGCGTGCGGGTCAGCGAGGGTCCGATATGTTCACGGATGCCAGTCCTGAAAAATATGAGCTGGGACCCGTTTCAAATGCCAAAGAAAACTGAGATTTCTGTAAAGAAACTTGATGGAAAACAAGCCCCCTGTTTAAAACAAACTAAAAATCAGCTTCAGGAAACATGGCATTAAAAAGGAGAGTTTTTTTACAGAGTTCAGGCGGGGAAGAAGGAAAGGTGGCCTCTGGAAGCCATGGGAGCTCCCCACCAACACCACAGAGATGTTTTGCCATCTCCTCCTGCACCTCCCTTTCTCCACTCCGGGAAAGCTGGTGACTTTGCAGAAAAGTGGCAGAATTTGCAGTCCATACAGATTATCATTAATTACCTGGGTGCTGAGCACCCCGCTGCAGGGCTGCCTGCACAGCATCTGCCCCCAGACCTTCAGACTTCAGTCACTCCAGGTTAAGGGTCGGTGTTTTTATAAACGTCTCCACTGATGCCAAAGGCACTTTGGCTACAGAATAAACCCGGCTAAATAATAACTTGCCCATGAAACTCAGTTGCTTCCTGTGTTTCCCTTGGTGCCAAATGCCTCCGACCCAGCTGTCCCCTCCACCTTTTCCCATGACATACTGCACAGGCAGCAAAAATTCACTGCAGGGGGTTGAGCCTTTAAAGCCTGGGGGATGTGGCAAACAGCACGGCAGCAGCCGGAGAGGGGTCACCGTCTATAGAACTCGCTGGATTTGGCCAAAAAACCACACAAACACATCAAATCCATCTGACTCCAACTACACCTGAAGCTGTAAAGTGAAAAAACACCCCATCTCACTCCAGATGCCACACCACACACAGCATGTGGGATGTGAGGGATGATCTATACTGCCCTACTCTATAGAAACAACCCATCTTCTCCCAAAAATGCCAGCCTCCCCTCCCCAGAGGTGCTCTCCTGACGGAGGCTCCCGCCCCAGCGCCGTGCAGGGATCGAGCGTGTGTCAACACAGCAAGATGTCACTGGGGCTTGCATTTATTGGGCTTTAAGGTACTCGTATGTTATCCAGGAGTATTGCTGACTCCTTGCAAGCAGTACTTGGGGAAAAAAATGGAATTCAACTTAATTGACCTCATCCTCGGAGGCTGCCTCCATCGCAGCCGGCACCGAGAGCACCACGGGCCCAGCCCCAGCCCAACCACCTCCACCTTCCAAACTGTCCCTACTGGACTAATTATTCATTAACCAGAAAATAAGTAATTCTGTAATGTCCCTGGCTAAGCATACTGTAGAGCAAAGTTCATGTAAGCTTCCAAGCAAGTGCTCTGAAGGCTAGGAGTAAGAGCTGCTCAAGAAGAACACTGTTATATCACTTTATTACCATCAAATACCTCTGACCTTTTCCCACAAGCTCCCAGCTACCGGAGGAGCCAATTCTGCTGGGTGCTGCTGGTGGGAACGCTGTGGATGGAGAAGCTTTCTGAAAAAACTGAAACTGCTGGAGCAGGTGCTCCTGGCTGCCCAAACCGACCCTGCCGCCTGCATTCTCAATGAGAAATCACTAATTAACCACCCTGAGTATCAGCCCATGCACAGCAGAGAAGCAAACGCTAACAGAGCCTCATGCAAAAGGCTGAGGCTGGAACCCAGGGAAAACCTGACCTCGTTTCGAAGAGCAAATCTGAAGACAAACAGCTCAAGAGATATAAAAGATCTTCATGGGTTGCCCCTCCGTGGTGCACCCCGGGCACTGATGAGACCGGCTCTGCTCAGTGCACGAGTGATGGGCACCGAGGTGTGCTCCCAGGTTGGGTCGGGCTGCTCATCGCTGCTGGAAAAAGCCATAAGGGAACAGAAAAACCCTTCAGATGCCTTCAAACCACAGCAACTCACACCCAGCTTCTCACCTCTGCCCGTCCCAAAAGCTCCTGGTTTCTGCCTTCCCCCAGAAGTCACAGGGGCAGGGGGGGCTGAGCGAGAGCCCCAGCAAAGCCCTCGGTGCTCATCTGCCCTCGACAGGGGTCCTGTGAGGGGCTGGGGGGACCCACCATGCCCTGGCAGTGATGGGCAGCTCAGCCAAGGTATCCCCCAGGAGACAACCTTCTCCAGCTGCAGGGAATTACCGGGATGCTAACACCTGGCTGCAGGGAGCAAAAGTGGAGCAAAAACTCTAATTATAGTCAGATCTCAGCACCGTTATCTGGAATTGAAGCAGAAGGAGGTTAAGTGCCAGACAAACGAACCCAACCCTAACACAACACACGTAACAAAAATACATATGTTACTGTTTAAATTAATTCCCAATTTAAACTGGTGGAAAGCGGGAGGGTGGTGAGAGAGGAGCAGCCCCGCTTTGGGGCCAGGACCTGCTAGATTGGCTCAAACCCTCTTTCATGCAAGCCCAGGTGCCACCGAGACCAGGTGCAGCGACCACCAGGTTAGGTGGAAAACAGGGATTTTATTTAGTTATTTAATTTATGACACCTGGAGGAGCTGCAGCAGACGAGGAGCTGCTTTAGAGATGGGGGCTGGGGGTGGCTGGGAAAAGGGGTTCCTGCACCCCAGGAGCCCACCAAGGTGCCCATCTGAGCCCTGCAGAGCAAAGGGGAGCCCTGCAGCCCTATCACCTCAGCCGTGGGGTCACACTGAACCCCCCTTGACCCCCCGCTTCCACTTACAGACTCCTTCCTATCACCCTGGCCTGATAATCTCCTTTTTCACCTGTGCTGTGGACGTTATTTCTCTGCCATCATCTCTATTTTAAGACCGAGCAGATGACCCAGCCTGGCATCTGCCATTCCCAGGGTTTAGCACATCCCTGCAGCCCACGGAGCACTGTGCCCAGCTGGCACCCCCAGCCTCTTCCCTGGCACCCCCCGGCCTCTTCCCTGGCACCCCCAGCCTCTTCCCTGGCACCCCCCAGCCTCTTCCTGTCAAGCCACGGTTAATAACACAAGTTGATGCAACTGCACAAATCAAATAAAACCTTCAGTGCTTAATCCTGTACCATCAAGCTTTGCTCCTCAATTGACTCCTTGGACTGAAGATGTTTTTTCACCGAGCTTTCCTGATGGCATGTCCCGGCTTGTCTTTCCTAATCCAGAGAAAAATGTTGGGTACAAAAAGAATCATCTCAAGTTTAACCAAACTGCTGCTTTTCAGCGTTTCGCCAGCGCCTGTTTTCCTTGCTTCAAAACCAAAATTCTGTATTTTATTTTTTTTCCCAAATGTCCATGGCAATTTTAAAACAAAAACAAGTGTTCCTTCCTTTCCATCTGGCTTACAGATGGGAACCTGGCACTGGGTTTCCGTCTCCGATCGTGCTGCTGCCTCCCTGGCGTGCCCCGGCCCCCCTTGGCAAACCCCATGGCTGTGTCCCGTCCCACCCCGGCGCAGAAGGCTCTGCTTTGGCATCTGCCAACACCAGGGTTTTGCTGCTCTTTAAGGAGGAACAGCGTTTCTCCTCCTTTTGCCTCATCTACTGCCTCCCCCAGAGCAACCACTACCTCCAAACCCCACATCAGGGGTTCATGGCCACCCTGGGATAACCCCCCTCCCTCCGCCAGCGAGCCCCGTGGCACTGCCTGTACGGTGGCTACCAGCCCCCCTGTCTGGGCCAGCCCACGGGTTATGCTGCATGCAGCACGTGGGTTGTAGCCAGGCTGTGGCTGCCACTCGCCCACGGCCAGGAGCGGGACCAGCTTCCCAAACCACCCTTGCCTTGACTCAGTGTCACGAGTGATTCCTGGTGACCGAGTGGGACTGCCAGCACCAACGGCAAGAGACACGCAGACAAGGGTGCCATGTGTGCCCATGGCTTCACCTCGGGCACGTAAGACATGGCTGGTGGCCCCTGTCCACGTTCTGTCCCCTCCTTGACCTGGAGCCATCCCTGCTCCCCTCTGTCCCCGCACGCTTCAGTGCAGCTGAGCTCGTGGCTGCACAGCCCTGGCCGTGTCCCCAGGGGACAGACCCTGGCCATGACCCCATGTCCCCAGGGGACAGACCCTGACCAAGCCCAGGGCACAGACCCCAGCCATGACCCCGTGTCCCCGGGGGACAGACCCCGGCCGTGTCCCGCAGCCACGCGCCTCTCGGTCGGGACCTTTCCTGGCCGTGCCCCCATGCAACGATTTTTTTTTTTTGGTGGCAGATGCTGCTGCTGAGTCATGGGGACTGGAGACAAGGGCCACCCACCCGCTCCTCCCCGTTGCCCCTCACAACGTGAGCCATCGGCACGTGAGTGGGACATCCCTTGGCCAGCGGGGCCTCGGCCTGCTGGCTGCCAAATGCCCACGCCGGGTGGCATAACGACGAGCCCGTTGTTCCTTAACCCTCTCCCACAAGGCAGAGGGTGGCAGCAGCCCCGCAGCCTCAGGAGAAACGTGTTTTCCATCTCTCCTGCAGCTCCCTGCTCTCTGCCAGCCTGGGCAGACAGACAGACAGACAGCGTGTCCCTGCCATGGCACCGTGGCACGGCCAGAAATCCCAAGGAGGTGGTTACAGGACCCATTGGTGTTCCCACAGGATGCCCAGTACAACCCCTGCCACCCCACAGCACCAAACTGGGGACAGGCTGGGAGCCTGTCACGGCACGTCAGTGGCCACAGGCCACCACGGCACCTGCCTCGCACCAGCTCCCCCAACCTGGTGCTGATGCCACCAAAGACACCAGGGTGGCTGGCGGGGGGTGCTGGGGCCAACTGGGCTGTTTGTATTTTTACTGGGAAAATCCCGGTTTGTTATCTCCTGACCGGGAGACAGCACGCAGGGTGGGTCCTGCCCCACGCGTGACTCTC